TAGTAGTGCCGTGCAAAATTGAAACGCTGATCCTTCCTGTCCCCAAACTAATGGTTATGCTATCGTTTGCATAGTTGATTATGCATTTGTTTATTTTTAAAAAGTCTTTTCCGAGTATGCCGTCGGAAGGAATGTTAAAGCTGTCATATACAACGTGAAGAGTGTGCGGAATGAAAATGTCTGATACTACCAAATTTGTATTTATTGTGCCCAAGGTTTGGACCGTTTCTGATGTTACGCCCGTGATATTAATAATGTTATTGCTGTTTATTGCGGATTTGCTTGTTATGCTGGAAAATTTTATAAGGGAAATGTCTGCTTGAGAGTCTACTAAAAAAGTGCATTGTTTTTGAGAATCACTACAATTTATTTCAATGAAATCGGAATAGTTGAGATTTAGGCAGTAAATGGATTTTTCCTTTGTAAAAGTCGTTAATTGTTCAAGTCTAGCTCCCCCAGTGTTCGCGCCTGAGGGACCTCGGCGTTTACAGTCCGAACATTGGCAGAATTTCGTGTATTTGAACGCGTATGATTGCTATTTCTACTGCTTGAAGCCTGACTGTTGTTACTGTTATTGTAGTTATTTCGTCTATTACTGAAACTATTATTCCTATTCTGATTATTGTTTCGATAGCTAGTATTGCCGCTGTGCCTATTTGAATTGCCGCTGAACCTGAGATTGTTATTGTGATATCTGTAATTATTGCTGCCTCTAAAACCTCCTCGCAAATTTGTTGTTCGTATGGGACGTGACCTAAAAGCCAACACCTGCCGCTCTTTTATTATATTGTCGTGCTCCACAATAATTTTCGCTACAACATCTTTCGAGTCGCTGAAGGTTGACGATGCTAGTATCGACTTTACCATATCTGAACGGCTGTTGAGCCTACAAACATTTATTGTTTGCTGGATTGCCATCTCGTGAGCTTTCGCTTGTGTCATCCCTTCAATAATAAGCGAACGCTCCAGAGCATCTGCGAGCTCCTCTACCTGTTTCGCAAAATCTGAATAATTGTTGTTATGCACTTTTAAAGCTGCAATTTTACCAGCGACAACTTTCGAGTTATCTGGTTTTATTTTGCTTGACAGCGCTTCTTTAATTTGACTAACTGAGTTTTTTGCGCTGGTAGGGACTCGCGAGCTTTACCTTCAAGTTTGGATTTCAAAAATGCAATAAATATTGTAGTGAGGCTTTCGCCTGACAATTCTTCAATAAGGGTAATTTTATCAATAAAAGAGACAAGTGATAGCGAGTTACCACTATAATTTACGCTTATAATCGAGGCGCATAAACTTATAAATGACTTCTTTTGCTCAGATGTTGCCATTTTCGTGTTGTTATTTTGAAAGAAGTTAATATTTGGTGAGCTAGTGGTTACGTAAGGAGGGTCGTCGAATCCCAAAAAATCTTCGGGAAAAAACAAGGAACGACTCTTTTTAATACTATAAACTTCAAGGGTGCCAGTTGAACGTGCGTCAGCAAATTCTTCGTCGGAATCTTCCTTCTTTATATTCCTCTAGCTTGCCCTCTTTTGTTGAGATAGGACGACTTTGTAACACACGTTTTGTAACCTTTGCAAAATCAGTACGCAAATCTTTAAAAGCAGTATCAAAATCTGGCATTTGACAAACCCGGCATAAATGTTTAAAAAAAGTCAATTTATTTAAATGATGGCAAAAAGGTGTTGGATTTTGTACGCAACTATAGGCCCAGTAAAATTTTCACAAATGGCATTCAATCGCAATTAATTTTTGTTTTTGAAAAAAAAAAGTAAACGTGGTAATCTGATAGCACGGCCTGATTTATAAGAAAAACATGTATCGATGATTTTGATTTTATATAAAATTAAAAAAAAAAGTTTCCAGCACTCACTCAGCGAAGCGCAGAATAAAAAAAAATTTTTGTCTGATAATATCAAAATTTTGAATTAAATGTTTTGGAAAAGTCTTCCTTAACTACTTTGCAAGGCACTGTTTATTAAAAATTTTTAATTGTAATTTAATTTTAAGAAAAGTTGCGTGGCGACATTTTGCACGCTAGTGTAATTCAAAAATGTAAGTAAAATTATGTATGGAGGTCAGAAAAACTAAGTTATATAAATGAAAAAAGGAAAGTTGGTTTGGTACCAATAATTTGCACACGACTGTAGTTCAGAAATTCCATTAGAAACAGTAACACAAGTATGTACATATGTATATGATAAAGTATATATGTATTGACAATTTTAATTATGTAACTTGAGTGTTAGTATGTACATAAGTATAAGGATAAAAATTTTTTGTTGTATTTAAATATTAGCAATAGTGTGCAATTGTATTGAATTAAAAAAATGTACATTTAAGTGTAAAGTATATATGTATTGACAATTTTAATTATGTAACTTGAGTGTTAGTATGTACATAAGTATAAGGATAAAAATTTTTTGTTGTATTTAAATATTAGCAATAGTGTGCAATTGTATTGAATTAAAAAAATGTACATTTAAGTGTAAAGTATATATGTATGTATGTATGCTCATACCATCAGGTCCCACGAAGTCACCTTCCTGCGTAGCGTTGCCATGTACAGATGTGTTGTCCTAGTTGTAGCTGTTGTTACTCGTTTCCACGCTACTATCTCACCCTTCTCAGCGATATATATGTGTGGCGTGGTGTTATTTATTTATTTATTTATTTATTTATTTATTTATGTATTTATTAACGCCAATCGGCTTTATACATACAAAAAGAGAGAAAAAGTGAAGTGAACATAAAGTAGCATAACATAGGTTTAATAAAATAACAAATTGCATGGTAATAAGTAGGAACCAACTGTAACGGAGTTACAGTTAAGTGACTTTGCCAGGGGCGTGGTTTTGTACGCCGTTAGGTAACGGGGTTATTGTTCAGTGGCTTGGCATATTTAGGTACAGTCACTTCAAAATCCACATTCTTTCGTGTGTTTTTTTTGCACTTTTACACACACACTAGTTTTATTTACTTTCCAACTTTTCCACCTAAAGTTTTAACGTTTTGTACCACCAGCCACTGTATTTTTATTCACTTAAAAAGCCACTTTAGCCACCAGCCACTGCACTTTCTCGCATTTATTACATTGTGAGACAAATGGTAGGGGTCAGTGATCGGGAAGGGTTCAAAATACCGGGGAAAGTTATATCGGTAAAAAAGAAGTTATACGTGTCCCGGCATTTCGCTGGGTCACGTCTAGGAATCGAGATATATATTTAACTATCATATAGGGGAAATTGTCACCTTTGGTGGTCTTTTTTTGACATAACTCGAGAACCCTTAGTCCGATTTTGCTCAAGCAAATTTAAAAAAATTAAAAATTACAATTCCTTTAATCTGTTCATATAACGTTTTTCTATTTCCCGTTGGTTTCATCCCATCCCAATTTTGACTGTCGCATAGTGTTATTTAATTTGTCTTTCAAACTTTGGTACTACCGATTTTTTATTTATTTTTTATTTTAAAGTCTTGTAATTTATTTTAAAACGTTGGTACAACCGATTTTATTTTTTGTTTTTTTTTCTGTGGTTTTTTTGAAAGTTTTTTTTTGTAATATATTTTTTGTTTTAATTCATTTTTGTAATTTTTGTAAATTTTCTACCCCCAGTTATTTAGTTTTTGGAGATTTAGTCTAGTTTAAGTTTTAAATTACCACCACCAGTAACTTTTTAGAACATGTTTTTTTATTTTATTTTTTTTTGAAACTAAATTAATTTTTTTTTGTACAAAGAGTTCACATTTTTATTTATATATCTGTTTGTTTTAATTTGTTTTTTTGATTTTATTTAATATTTTTTTTTGCAATCATTAGGGTTTTTTCCCGTGGTCGCTTTAGTTGTTTCCCTTTTTTTCTCGCCCATTTTGCAGGCTGGTGTACGGTCGCCATGTAATGTGTGTTATCCCACATTTCTTATGTGGAGGAGGCGTACCTGCTCAGTTCACGCGGAGCCCTGGTGTTCCGCCGGCGCTGATGCCGGCCAACGCCTGCCCTCATGGAGCCCTAGCGCTCCACTGTACGCTGCTACGTACTTTGCTGTACGTGGGTGTGCACGAAGCTTTAGTGCTCCGAAGCCGCTCCCTGGCCTACCCAAATATGTGGGTGTACTTCAGCCGCTAGTGTGGGACCTCCGGGTAAATTTAATAAAACTCGACTGTTCGTTTTAAATGTACGCGGGAATAATGCCGCCAATTTTATTTTCACTAAAGGACTTAAAGTTAGTTGCTTTCGCAGATACAACAGGGTTGCATCCTCAATATCGTAAATTCTTAGATGTAATCTATTACCTTAGGCTACTTCTAATAAGGTGATTTGTAGGGTTGCAGCAATGTATGCTTGATCGCATTACACAACAAACTAAACTTGTCTTTGATTAACTTGCCTTCAGTGCCTTTTACGTTTCTTACAAATTGTAAATATGTATATAATTTTTAACTTTTTTAATTTTTCATGTGGCCCCTTGTAGTGCGGGCCCCTAGGCTGGCGCCTATGTAGCCTGTGCTTTAATCAGGTCCTGGTTAGATCCTTGTTTAGTAGCACAGTTACGCGGTATCGCCGCAACTGTGATTAGTAACAGTATTATATAGTTAGAAACAGGCATCGTCATTAGCAGTGCGACCAGCAGAGGTAGATACTGCTACCCGCAAGCGTCAGCTAAAAATTAGTGTGCGTTAGTGTGGGTAGGTGCCCTACAGGGAAGAGGAGACCAATTGTCTACAAATAACCCTTTTGATAGAAGACGAAATGAGGAAACGTCAAAAATTACGCCGCGTTTATTTGGGTATAGCGCGCACTGGCACTCGTTAGCATTGGAAAACCCAAAGCTTAGCGCTCCAATTTAGGGGCGGCAGGTACTCTATAGCTACGGGTCCAGTTGCGATCGTACGGGCTACATTCCCATTATTTACCAAAATTTTGCTTTCAGAATACTTAGCAAAACTTTACAAAAAAATTATTAAAATATCTATGCCCTTTTTAAATTGTATTCTTCCAGTTTTCAAAAGAGAAAATATAGTCATTCATTCTGATTCCCACCTGCCCAATCCTAAGGAAATTTCGGATGAAAATGATGATTTATCTACGTACACCACTAGAAACGTATTTGCAGATTCAACAGTGCCATTAACCTCAACGCCCGGCTCGTTAACTATGGTTTCTACAAGGTCAGTTAAATAATCGAACTATAATTGATATGTAATAAAAACCTTTGCTTTTAGAAAACGAAGGCACACAGTTAAGCAAGTTAACTCTGCAATGAATTCCAACATTATAAATCAAAATGTGGTGGGTCATATGGGCAATGTGAATACTGATGCTCAACACTTCCCGGGGGCTTTCAGTAATAACCAAGTACCATTTACCCAGCAACGAAATCATCGTCAAAAATATATAAATAGAACTGAACTGTCACAAATACAGACCGCCGGCGGCATAAGTACTAGTGCCAGTAATACAATTTGCTATAAACCTGTTGAAATGATGGAGGAACCTGTTAAACCGCGACGTTGGGAACAAAAGCAGGTACAAATAAAAACGATGGAAGGTGAATTTAGTGTCACTATGTGGGCCTCGGGCAATTCCGACGATGAGGCTTCGAATCAAGAGCAGGAGACGGACTACCAGGATTTTATAACTTGTGAGGAACGAGAAATCGAAAACGAATGTAGTGTTACTGATTCTGTGCAGGGATTTGTGCCTTCCATCGACAGTAATGGTTTTCAGGACCAACAAGAACAATTGATGCAACGACATATAATTTTACAGCAACAGCAGGAACTACAATCCCAACATGTTTTAGTTGAAAATTCTGTGGATGCGGGAGACTCGTCCAGAACTACCACAGAGGCTGGATGCTCTACAATTATGCCCACAATAATAGGTTTAGATCCAACGGAACATCAACCGTTGTCCGAGTATGCGGATACCAGCAGTATAGACAATAAATTAAAAAAGACTGTTTCACATAGTAGAGCCGACAACACTCTTATTACAACGGATGAAGACGATAAAGATGTGGTTTTACCAGTTTCACGCACTACTGTAATGACCACGCCGCTTATTCATCCTGCTAATACTGCTGTGATCACGATGACCAGTATAGATGACGGTAGCCTATCAACCACAGCCTTGCCCGTAGGGGTTGTTTTACAATCAAATTCTCATACTATGTCTTCTTCACCACCACCATTGAGTTATAGTAACAAAATAAATACTGCTGCCGCTTCAGAAACGAATTGCAACGGCCCTGGCGAAAAACGCATTGCATGTCCACAAAAAGGATGTTATAAATTTTTTCGTGACAACTCTGCAATGCGTAAACACCTTCATACCCACGGACCACGGGTCCATGTCTGTGCTGAATGCGGTAAAGCGTTTGTCGAAAGCTCCAAGTTAAAGCGCCATCAGCTTGTGCACACCGGGGAGAAACCATTTCAGTGCACTTTTGAAGGTTGTGGTAAACGATTCTCATTGGATTTTAATTTAAGGTAACCAGTGTATGCGTTTATACATTGTAATAAACATTTAGTCAGCGTCAAAAATATTTATGCCCTGACATTTTGACGTTTTATTATATATATTTTCCATACTAAATTTTTCTTATTTCTTTTTAATATATATGCTACCCATAGCACAATCAGTTCGTGAATTCACTCTTTCTCGAATTCTGTTAACATGGATGGGTGCGCTCATGGTTTTTAGCTAAGCAACAAATAATTTTTTTGTTCTTTTGCTCACTTCCACGGTTTCCATTGTAGTAAAGATACTCTGGGTTTTCAAGGTTGGCTATGCAGATATTTGTTTGCATTAATTGACGTTTTTTCCCAAACTAAAAACTCAAAAACACAAAACAATACATACTGGCCACATCGTTAACAATGTAGAAATTATACATCCTAAACATTTGCTAAGGAGTCTCAAGGTTGCCTAGCCTTATATTTGTACGCATCATTGAACGTTTTTCCCAAATTAAAAAAAACTCCTTGTAGATCCCAACCACATCATTAATAATTCAAAAAATAATTACATAGACAATTAGGTGCAAAATTGAGTCAATGATAAACAAATTCACAATTTATGCGTTTTTCGGTGGTTCTTTGGCAAAATTGTAATGCATTTTTTTCACATATCGCACACCGTCTTCAAAACAGTCACAACTCAAAATTTGGCATTTTTGAAATTATGCGCTAAAAATGTACACAGAGCTTTTATTTACCATTCAGCAAAAGCTGGAGCAAATTTTTGTTATAATTTGCTAAAAACCCTAAGGTAAAATCGCCCTTGCCCATATGATTAGCATGTGCTACGAAATAGTTTTTGGCATTTTCTGACGAACGTATTATTTTGAGTTGTGACTCTTTTGAAGACGGTGTGCGATATATTAGAGCAGGGATGGGCAAATTTTTGGCTCTTACAGCCGTCAAAGAGCCAGCAAGTGCTACGCAAGAGCTAAATCAGTTCTCAGGGTAAAGGGGTGTACAAAATATATTAAAAGCATCATATATATTAGTAATGAGAATCGGAGTACAAGAAATTTGAATACGCTCTTCTTCCCCCCTTCATGCTGGCTCTTGATATTACCCCTCATGTAGCACCTAAATGTGCCAAGCCGGCTCCTAAGTGCAAAAGGCTTCTGGGAGCTACTTTGCCCATCTCTGTATTAGAGTATAGCTTAACGCGCTAGAATCCACCATAAAACAAGTAAGAAAACCGTAAGTTCGGGCGGAGCCGAACATTAAATACCCGGCGCAAATATTAAATATATGTTTTTCACCTGTCAAAAAGCTTTCGCTTACATGGTAAGCCGGGGTGTATCAATTTTGAGTAAATTAGCGTCCTTAAGTTTTGAAATATTGAAGTTTCAAGCATTTCTGAAATTTACCGTTATATGAAAAGCGGCCGTAATTTTAGTCCGATTCAATAATTCAATAATTTTCAACGTTTTGCTTTTATGTGGCAAGCACAATAACCACACCGAGTTTGGTACAAATTGGTAGAACGGTTACCGAGATACATATATGTGATTATAAGTGGGCGGTGCCACGCCCATTTTCCAAAATGTTATCATAAACGTATTTCTTGGTAAAGAGTTGTTGCAAGCATCAATTTTGAAATTATCTTTAATATTTACTGATTCATCGAAGATTTAGTATTTCTCTAAATTACCGTAATTTGGGATGTGGGCGTGGTTATTGGCCGATTTTAAAAATTTTCGTCCGCTTGGTATGCTGTACCAAGGCCAATAACTGTGCCAAGTTTGAAGGAAATCGGTGCAGCGGTTACCAAGATATAAACTTGTAACCTTAAGTGGGCGTGGCTACGCCCATTTTCCAAAAGTTTATAATCAGGCAGGTTTGCAATTCACTTTCGAGTGAATTTCAATCAAACTCGGTTTGAATTCAAATTGGCAGGGGTTGAAATTCACTCGGAAGTGAATTGCAGAACCTGCCCAAATATTCTTATTTTTCGATGAAACCAAAGTCGATATCTCCGGTCCAATTGAAATGAATTTTGTCAATTTATTTAGCTTTCGGTGCTAGTATTGCACCCTCATCAGAATTATAAAAAATATGTACTGATATATGTATGTGTGTTTAACGCAATATTAACTGCGGCACCATGGATTGTGCATTTTATCATACACACATATATGTATAAGTAACTAAGTCAAATTGGCGGTACGTATACCCTATAAAATATCTCAATTCGCTCGTTTTTCGTTACAATAGAATTTGTCTATCTTTGCGGTTTCCAATTTCAATTTTTTAAATTTATGCTTGAAGTTTTGTTATTATTACTACTCCCATAATAAAGAGGGTATACATACCGGCAATTTGACTTAGTTACTTATACATATATGTGTGTATGATAAGATGCACAATCCATGGTGCCGCAGTTAATTTTGCGTTAAACACACACATATATATCAGTACATATTTTTTATAATTCTTATGAGGGTGCAATACTAGCTCCGAAAGCTAAATAAATTGAAAAAATTCATTTCAATTGGCTCGGAGATATCGACTTTGGTTTCATCTTTAATTTGAAAAAAGTCCGAGCGTTAAACAATTCTTTTAATTCTTATTTTTCGCCTGAAAATTATTGTGAATATCAATTTTGAGTGAATAATCTTCAGTAGTTACTAAAATATCGCAGTTTTCGTACTTCTGAATATTACCGTTATATGGGAGGTAGGCGTGGTTATTGTCCGATTTTGCCCATTTTCAATATCATCCGTCCTACGCCCAATAGAAGTGTACGTACCAAGTTTCGTTAAAATATCTCAATTTTTACTCGAGTTATCGTGTGCACAGGCGGACGGACAGACAGAGATTCACCGCTTAATCGATTTCTCTTTTCATTTTAATCATTTATGTATACATTTGTCTACATCTATCTCGATTCGTTTTGCCTGTTACAAACAACCGTTATGTGAATAAAGTTATAATACCCTTGTGCACAAGTGCGCTCGGGTATAAATATCAAATTTCGCTAACGTATATGCACTCCAACAATTTTTGTAAATTAACAAATTTACTCAATTTTGCACCCATATAATTTATAAGAGATATTGCCACGCTGCAACCCGTTTTCCTCCGCTAAAGTGTCGGATTTTGTTACAAATGAGTAAGTAAGTTGGTTTTTTGTTATTAAAACACCATGAGATGCGTTTTGGGAAATAAAAATAAAAGTATTACTGAAAAGGCTATGACGGGGCTTTCAAGCCGTGAAATAGCGAAAATGACGCATGTGAGCCAATCGACTGTTAGCCGTATTATTAGACGCACTACTAACATGCAGATTGCAAAGAAAACGGTGGAAATAAGCCGAAAATATCCGAGGTAGAGGGGCCAAAACATAAGCGTTTAATAGCGTTAGCCAGAATATCTGCCGCTAAAGAAGTTGTGGGGTGCGTTAGTGGAGATGCTAGCATATTCACCGTGAGAAGAATGCTTTATAATGCAGGATTGAAGGCGGTGGTGCAGAAAAAAACCACTTCGGTGGACTAGGGACATTAATCTAAGGTGAGCATTCTCAGAAAAAAAAAATTGGACTGATCCAATCAAAAAGGTCCAGGAATTTTTGCAATGTCCGTGCATTTCAAACTTTGCCTAAATGTTATGTACAATTATAGGTTATTTGGTCAGATGAGGCCAAAATTAACCGCTTCCAAACAATGAAAGATCTTGGTTTTGGGACAAGAGCGGAAAAACGATTAAGCCTTCGCACATTCAACCGACAGTAAAGCATGAGTGTGGGGCAATGAGCGGCTGGGGCTGCATTACAGCGAATGGCGTCGGACCACTGCTTTATGAAGCATTCTTCGCACGGTTCACACGCTAGCATCTCCACTAACTCACCCCACAGCTTCTTTAGCGGTAGATATTCTGTCTGACGCTATTAAACGCCTAAGTTTTGGCCCTTCTACCTCGGATATTTTCGGCTTATTTCCACCGTTTTCTTTGCAATCTGCATGTTAGTAGTTCCTCTAATAATGCGCCTAACAGTCGATTGGCTCACATGCGTTATTTTCGTTATTTCCCGGCTTGGAAGCCCCATCATAGCTTTTTCAGTAATATTTTTACTTCCCAAAACGCATCTCATGGTATTTTAATAACAAAAAACCAACTTACTTACTCATTTATAACAAAGCCCGACCCTTTAACGAAAGAAAACGGGTTGCGGCGAGTTGCAGCGTGGCAATATCTCTTTTAAATTATATGGGTGCAAAATTGAGTCAATTTGTTAATTTACAAATATTGATGGAGTGCATATACGTTAGCGAAATTTGATATTTTTATGGTTAAGCTATACTATAATATATGTAAAAAAAAAAAAATTCATTACAATTTTGCCAAAGAACCACCGGAAAACGCATAAATTGCGAATTTGTTCATTATTGACTCAATTTTGCACCTAAGTGTACATATGTACATACATATGCACATCTATCATGGTATTATAAAGTAGCTTGTATGCCTAAACATAAATACATATACCTATGTATGTATGTATATATGTAAGCTAAAGTTTATTAACAGATATCCTTTTTAACGTATACTTTGTACTCGAAATAATTCAGTGTGCCTGTTTTTCACAAACATGTGATACACATAGATACACAAAGGCAATCTCTTCTAAATATGCGTAGTTTGTTTTAAAAGAGATTAGTTTGGGAAAATAGTTAAATTTAAACATATACATATGTATGTACATATGCATGTGTTTATAGGAAAAATATTTTAACAAACGAGCGAAATGTTCATAAAAATTTCAAACTTTTTATTAACAGTTACAAAATTCTGGGTATGTATATTAAATTTTAGTACAATAAAGTGCAAGTTTGAACTAGGTAGGGCTACGGTTGATTTTTAGCAAGCTTCAAAAATGTTCGGGCTGCCTCTCAGCGGCTTTACCTTTAAATTTTTGTATCATGCCTCAATCCAGTTAAAATGTAATGCGACCACTCCTATTATTTTGTGCACAA